GGTGGTAATGCCTAGAGGTAGAGTGTAATTCCTAATACTTGAGGGAGACACGGGCTAGAGACCAACACTTAGACGGTGTAGAGTGTGATTGCAAGAGTGTGAGATTGTAAAGTTTTTGGTGAACTAAAAAACCGAGTGTGAGGTAAACGTTATTCGGGTGAGCGTAGAAAACTCGGTTGTGATAGTGGAGATCTCATCGAGGTGAGGAGCGGAGACGTAGGTCAAGTGGTTGACCGAACTCCGTGGTCATATCATTTGTTTGCATTTGTCATTGGCGTTCCTGTATATTTGTGCTTATCATTTATATTACCTTTGTCAATTGCTTATTGTTTATATTGCCCTATCACTTTAGTAGTTTGTTTACCCTTGTGTTACTTGTATATCCTTGCACATATCCTATCACTTTAGTAGTTTGTTTACCCTTGTGTTACTTGTATATCCTTGCACATATATTTGTAATATATCATTCTTGCTAGATATCCTTGCACATATATTTGTAATATATCATTCTTGCTAGGATATATTTGTTAATAAGTTTTTAATTGGTATAAATCAGAATTAGATTAGTATAAACCCTATTCACCCCCCCCCCCTCTAGGGTGCTTTCATGATGATTGTATACATCTTTGTTAGTTATATTGTCATGTTAGTTCTAATTGCTTGCGTGTTAGTTCTAGCTTCTCTAGTGTCAGTTCTAGCTGCACTCGAGTTGGTTCTACTTTATGTAATGCGTTAGTGTCGGGGCTAATTGACATGTTAGTTCTAATTGCTCGCATGTTAGTTCTAGCTTCTCCAGTGTCAGTTCTAGCTGTACTCAAGTTAGTTCTACTTTATGTAATACGTTAGTTCTAGTGTATTCATCAGGCTAATTGCCATGTTAGTTCTAATTGCTCGAGTGTTAGTTCTAGCTTCTCCAGTGTCAGTTCTAGCTGCACTCGAGTTAGTTCTACTTTATGTAATGTGTTAATTCCGGTGTAAGCATCGGGGCTAATTGTCATGTTAGTTCTAATTGCTCGAGTGTTAGTTCTAGCTTCTCTAGTGTCAATTCTAGCTGCACTCGAGTTAGTTCTACTTTATGTAATGCGTTAGTTTAGGTGTAAACGTTAGTTCTAGCTGAGTTAATGTTATTTGGTTTTGTTGCCTCTGTTAGTCCTAGCCTTGATAATATTAGTCCTAACTGTTATGAGGTCAGTCCTAACTGATATCGTGTTGGTTCCACCTCCAGCTAACTCAAGTTCTAGTGTAAGCGTTGGTTCTGTTGCCTTTGTTAGTGCTAGCTGGGATAATATTGGTTCTAGCTGTTATGGTGTCAATTCTAGCTGCATTCATGTTAGTTCTACCCCCAGCTAGTGCTAGTTATAGCGTAAGCATTGGTTCTGTTACCTCTATTAGTCCTAACTATTGTAAGGTCAGTCCTAACTGATATCGTGTTGGTTCTACCTCGATAATGCTGAATTTTCGTCTGAGGATGAGTAATGGGGAACTAAATAGCTATTGCTCATGATAGTGTAAAAAAAAAGAGGGGGGGGGGGCTTTCCCTCCATTTCTTCCATCATATCGCATTAATGAGAAGTGAATACTGTAGCTTTTGGGGACGAGCCGTCGTCTGGGGAAGAGTGGGAAGGGCAAGTTCGGGTTTTTGGCAAAATACAATATGCTTTTAGTATAATTCTGACGTGAAAGGGCCTTGCCACATTAAACGTCACTTTTTGGGGCTTATCCACATGGGGCAGAATACAAGGGACCTCGTCACATGAAGTTTCTGTTTTTGGGGCCTGGACATATTTTTCCCTTAAAAAATAAAAGAAAGAAAAAAAGAAAAATAAAAGACTTACTGGAGAAAACGAAAGAAAATGAATGGAATCCTGCCTCTTGCTTGACCAAGAAATTTGGACAACCAAGCCAGCCTTCATATGCAAGCAAGGAAGTTAGAATATGCCAAAGAATCACAGGCATCTAGATGATTCTAGAAGAACAAGAAAATGTTGTCTATAACAGAGGGAACCACCTCAAACTTTGGAACAAGCCAAACTAATAGCAATTAGCACACAAAATGTCAATGGATTCCTACTCCTAAAGAGGCAATGCTCTTTTAACAACCACTTGTGGAATTAGAGAGGGTTTCATATTACTTTGGCTGAGAGGATACACCTCTTCAGTTGTTACTTAACCTTGAATATGTACGTCAAGTGGAGCTCGATAAATACATTTCTAAGAATCTCACAGACATTAGTACAGAAAATTTTATTGCAGAGGGCGATCCGTAGAATATTTATATCAGTGGTAGAATATTTATATCAGTGAGGATGACATTTGACATATTAGTGCAATCATTATCAATAAAATTATTTGCTTATTAGTATAGTCATATATGCATTGCTAGTATAGTCATATATGCATTGCTAGACCATATATAGCAACTACATTGATATACCTTAAGCGTAAAGCTTTTTGGCTCGCGGGTGAACCGCGAGCCCCCCAACTCGCAGTGAGGGGTACAGGGGCAGTGGGCCCCACAGCTGGGGCCCACTGCCCCTGTACCCCTCACTGCGAGTTGGGGGGCTCGCGGTTCACCCGCGAGCCAAAAAGCAGGATTCATACCTTAATGATATATCCATCAACTTCTTGTACTACAGTAAGATTTGTTTCCATCTTGTAGTTTGCATTCACCAAGGCAGAGATGTATCTACATTGACGACGGAACATATGCATGTGCTAAACCCTAACTGGTATTTGGTAGCAAAAAAAATACCCTAAAGTTTTCTAAACTAACGTTTATATATGTATTCTCACTTTTTAGCAGCACTTAAATATCCTAATGTTTTTACAACTAGCACTTAAATACCCTAAAGTTTTTACGACTCGCACATAAATACCCTCATTTTATTCAAACTTGACTGTTTTTAAGTGTAAGTTTTAAAAACTTAGGGTATTTAATTATTAGACTTATAAACTTTAGGGTATTTAAGTGCAAGTTTTTATAACTTTAGGGTATATAAATGCTACCAAAAACAAGTGATGATATATAAGTGCAAGTTTAAAAAACTTTAAGGTATTTTGTTGCTCCTAAGTATAAGTGAGTGTATATAAGTAAAAAATAGATGAAAGAATAGAGTATATAAGTGCTATTTAGCCTATTTCATAGCATAAAGAATTATGACTTACTGATCATATTGAGCAATATGAGGATTCGCCCATAGAGAAACTTCACGAATATTGATATGGCATGGTACATGAAATAGGGTGCCACAAAAGTTCATGTCATTTCATTCTATTTTTTTTTTTTTTTTTTTTTGATGAACTGTTATTGATATGGCATGGTACATGAAATAGGGTGCCACAAAAGTTCATGTCATTTCATTTTTTTTTTTTTTTTTTTTTTTTTTGATGAACTGTTTCAACCCTGAGAATCATTCTGTCTGAACTCACATATTAATTTGGAGTGTATCATGTTATATAGTTCGCTAAAATATAATTCCTAATAATATATTGGAGGTTAATGTGTTCAAGTAAAACTTGTCGTAATCAGATTCATGAACTTGTCAAAGACTTAGCTCACCTAACTTTTTTCTTTTTCCATTTTTTTCCCTATATTTTTTATGGCTGAGCATGGGACTTTGAATTAAGAACTAAGACCGAATTTTTTATTTTCAAAACGCGGCCTTTTTTGTTTGACTTACACGCGATGAGAACAGAAACTCGCTGTAATCTCATCGAACCTTCGTCCACGTGGGCAGATAAAATTATCTCAGAATAAATTAACAAATAAATCATCATCAATTCATCATCAATACTAAGATCTTGGAGATAAAAGAGAATATGCCGAAAGATCCTTGAAAATTTCTGTGAATGAACTTTTTTTCTAGCGTATCATCAATCTACTAAGTTTGATAGACCAAACATGAATATTTATCAAATATTAAAGCATTTTGTTTGATGTAATGTATGCATGAGTACTAAATTATTTAATTAAGAAGATACTTTTCATTTGGTTAACATTCATTAGGAAATATTTGATTTTTAACAATATTTAAATTCATTATTAAAAATTATTCCTTTATAAGTATGATGTATATCATTGATTTGAATATTGGTTCAAAGCTCAATCTCCTATACCTCGAAATCTCTCAAAATTATTATCAAATTTAAACGAAAAATTGTAAGTGGATAAGAACATAACACATGCGTGCTACAATACAATTTATAAATGATCAAACTTTAAGTAAACAAATAAATCAAATATACAAATTTATCCTCTAAATCAAATATTATTATTACTGTTAAAATTTATAAGGACACGATAGATTTGAAAAGGCTCATATCAAAACCATTATTTTTTGAAGTTAAGGTATGTTTATCTTCCTACTCCTACTGCAATTGTAAATTTAACATTGTTAACTGAGGGGATCATCTTAACTCATTGTCAAAAAAATAAAAGGAATATATTAGCATATGTTCATATTTAATAATAAATTTGCAAACAAGATATGACTGGATACATTAAAATCCAAAGAAAAACAGGATATAAGAACTGCAAAATTTTAAACCTTTGTAAGATTTCTGTCATTTATAAAATTCACAGAAGGCCTTCTGTAATTTAACAAAAGAAGGTTGTCTACATACATATCCCTAATATTATGGGTATTTGTAAAAATATCTCTAAATCTTACTAGTATTTAAACTACCCCTCAAACTATCAGCTTGGGGAACCAAAAAATCAACAAATCATTAACTTAGTGATAAAATTTTGGCTATTTTATTGACAATGTTAACATTGCAATTGCAATTAGCTTATCACATATGATTTTTATGGTAATCTTTTTAAAAAATGATGATAGTAGTTTTGTAAATACTGAAATGTAGAGGGTATTTTTGAAACAATGTAAGGGGTACATATGCAAAAAAAACCCAAAAAAAAGACAAACAAATCAAAACAGGCAGAAAAGAAAAAAGAAAAAGGAAACAAGAAACTTTGCAGGGAGAAAGCATGGAAGGTTCTGTTTTCTCACCTGTATTCTCGTGATCCTTTTTGACTTTGTGGCGGACTCATGGCGGTCTCTGGGTCTCATCAGCTTTAGGGTTAGGGGTCTTTTATTTTTAAAGGGCTAGGGTTTTTTTCCATGAACCTTCGATTCCCATTTTAAAACACCAAATCCTAATCTCAAAATCCCCATTTCAACAGCCTCCTTGCGCTCTCTCTCTCTCTCTCTCTCTCTCTCTCTCGATCAGCGTCCAACTTCTTCTTGAGATCTCAGTAAGGATTCCATCCCTCAATTCTGTCCTCTTTGTGGTTTTGTTTGATTTTGCATTCCTTAATTCTGTTTTATTTTTAAAAGAAGTGTAATTTTGAGTTGGTTTCATTGATGGGTTTTGTGGAATTTGGCTTTTGTAAGTGGAAAGTTCTTTTTTAAAAAAAGTATTTGTAGGTGGTTTGAAGCCTCATTTCTCTTGTTTTCTTAACAAAGGTGTAATTTTGATTTGCTTTTTCTTGGTGGATTTTGTTGGATTTGGCTTTGTCAGTAGAAAGCTTGGGTTTTTTTGGAAGAATTTTTAGGTGATTTGGAGCTTATGATTTTTAGTTGATTCTGTTGATGGCTTTTATGAAGTTGCAATTTTTAGAAGAATTTGCAGGTGGGTTTTTGCCCAAGTTCTCTTTTTGGCATTGAATGTAGTTGTTGTTTGATTTTGATGGTGGGGTTTTTCTTGTTAGATTAACCTTGTTCTATTTCCAAGATCTATGTTTACTTAGCTAATCTTTGAAGAAGTTTTCTGTATTACATTCATTAATTTACTTTGGTTTCTTAATGGTATTCTAGCTAGCAAAAGGTTGAAGTGAGAAAACAATGAGGGCACCATCAATTCTTGCCCAATGCTTACCGGGCTTATTGCCCCATGATAGAACTGGTCATGGTGTTACCGTAGTTTCTGAAAGAGACTCGCATCTACCTTCTCCGGCTGTCGAGATTATTGCTTCAAAGGTAAGTTATGGCCTTTTTTTCTTTTGCTAAATTGCAGTGCATAATAGTTATAGTAGGAAATAATTGTTGGGGACATTGGTTTGTTATTCCCTTTTCTAAGATTTGTGCAAAATTAGGTAGTTATGCGTTCTCTTGATTTTAATTAAGTTTTTTTTTTTTGCAATTTTTCAGAATGCTCACCCCTATAAGTATGCTGGAGAGAATGTTGACTTGCAAGGAATTAACATCTTCAAGGTATATATTAGACATTACACACAATTTGTGTTGTTTATCTTGAGATTTTTTTCCCCTTTTATCATCGGAGAAAAAAACTATCAATTAATATCAACTATAGTAACAGGCCAACCGAACATCTAGGCTATACACTTCTATTGTTTGACATGGTAGCTAGTGACCTTCTGTAATTGTGCTGAAACATATTAAATTTTAGATTTAGATGTTTGATAAGTTTTGTTCATGTTTCAGGGTAGAGTTAGTGTTGCAGACATCATTGGGTTTTCTAGTTCAGAGATGATATCTTCAAAACCTGATGGTGAGTTGACAATATTAAATGTTAGTTTATTCAGATGCTGGTATTAGTGTGCATAGGAAAAATGATTTACTTTATTGATATTTTTCCTTTGCTATTACAGGGTCTTTAAAAGCTTGGGAGAGTTCAATTGATCTTGTAAATCTCCTTAAGCATGAAATACGTGATGGACAGTTAAGTTTCAGAGGCAAACGAGTACTTGAGGTAATAATTTAGTTTTAGAAATCTCTTCAGTTTTGTGCTATGACATTGTTTCTTGTTTATTTTAGTGTATTGTTCTCAAGTTAATCATTGTGGCTCTATGTAGAAAGACACTACAAAATAAAGCTGACCAGTTTTAGTTAAAGAAATAAATAAAGTGTGAGACTATTATCAGTTTTGAGTCTTTTGACTGATTTAGATTTTAAAATTATCTGAAATATACTAATTACATTGATAATAGAGGTAATAAAGGATTCTATTTAGGGAGGAAAGTTAGCCTGATTATTGGTTTCTATTTTAGGTTAGCACGCCGTAACTGCCTTCTTAGAATTTCTGTATATACCTTGTCAATGTTTTCAGTGCTTATCTTTGCTCACATTTCTGTTCTCAAATGTCATATGCTTGAAGTAGCAAAGAGAATGTTGTCTATTTTTTGTTTTTGTTTTTGTGTTTTTTTTTTTTCATTTGCATTTTCCTGGTTGTGAGTAAGTGCAGTGTCTTAAGCTTACTCCAAGCAAATATGATGCGAAAAAGGTTACATCTCATAGATGCAACATACTCAAAATAGAACATAAATACTCAGTTTTATATAAGAACATGAACAGTTAATTGCTACTTTAAAGTGAATTTCCATGCGAACCAGACATAATGATTTAGTTTATCAGGAGGAGAACTAATATTATTTTTATTGTTAACTGCAGCTTGGTTGCGGTTATGGTCTGCCAGGGATTTTCGCTTGCCTGAAGGTATGATTTTATTCTATGATTCCCTCTCTAAGAGCATGGTGGTTTTCTTATTTTTTTTTTTAATTTATCCCCCCCCCCCCCAACACACACACACACACACCCCACCCCACCCCAAAAAAAACCAAAAATAAAATAATAAGAAACACCGAAATCTCAGTATTTGCAAAATTGCCTCTCGAATCATCAACTTTGTGGAAAAAAAAACCCAAATCAACAAATCATTCACTCTGATAGGACAATTTGTAACTGCAATTTACAGTTGTCAATAGAAGAGTCAAATTTTTACTCAAATGTCCATCGATGATTTTGCTGATTTGGGGTTATTCTTTTCCAAAGTTGATGATTTTGGGATAGTTTTGCAAATACTGACATTCAGGGTATTTCTGCAAATATGCATGATTTAAGGGCTATATGTACTTCTTATAAATATCAACATATCTAACCCAATTTTACTCAAATCTACAACAGGGTGCATCAACAGTTCATTTCCAAGACCCAAATGCTGAAACAATAAGATGTACAACAATACCCAACGTGCTCGCAAACCTTGAGCAAGCACGAGAGAGGCAAAGCCGACAGCCTGAGAGCCCTCTAACTCCATCTCGACAGCAATTAACTCCTGATGTCCATTTCTACGCTGGTGATTGGGAAGAGCTCCATACAGTGCTCTCAATGGTTGAGATTAATGAGTCTGAGATCACTCGTGGTATGAACTTGAGTTTCTCTGAAGAGGATTTTCTTGATGGATGTAGTAGTCAGGATGGAAGTATTGGCCATGAAGCTTCTTCAAGGAGGTCGAGGAAATTATCAGGGAGTCGAGCATGGGAGAGGGCGAATGAGATTGACTCAGGAGATGGAGGGTATGATATTATATTGGTTGCTGAGATCCCTTGCTCTGTGAGCTCTCTGAAGAAGTTGTATGCGTTAATAACTAAGGTTGGTTAATTTCTTTCGGTCCCTTTTCATACTTAATTTTATGGTAAATTCTAAAAAAAATAAAATTAAGCAGTTTTGCCCATTTTGAGATGACCCCTAAAAAGTTTGGAAATGTCACTTAACCCCATGAACTTTTGCATTTTTCTGAATCTTTTCAGATAAATCCCAAACTTTATGGGGTTATCTGAAATTTTTTTTGGGGATTAAGTGAGATATCCAAACTTCTTGGGGGCTATTTCTAAATGAGCCAAACTTCTTGAGGTTTTGTGAAATTTACCCCAAGTATTATGCTAACAGTTTGCTACTGAATGGATTATGCTCATAGGATGTTGCTAGGATTAGTTAATTCTTCTCAACCATAATAAACTCATAATGTATTTTACTATTTTCTTAGTATTCCTCGTCTTTTAGCCTTTTCTAATCTCTTTTTAACCATCTTTACCTAGAATTTTAAAAGTTTATCATTTTCAGCCTACCAATTGTTCAGTGTGTTGGTTTTAGCTGTTGAATACTCATAAAAGAGGGATATATTCTCCATTGTAGCAAATGGAAACTATTTTATAGTTGGATTAATTTTCTTTAAGTAATCTGCAAGCATCCCTATAGCTGTACTTTTCTCCTTCTCTTTCATGGCCTTCTAGTAGCTGAGCAATTAAAGAAAATATTTTAGCTCACTTCTCAGCTTCCCTACCAGAACAACAGCAAAGACTTTATTCCAAATTTTTAGCGTCGATTTTATGAATCATGTTCCTCCACTCTCAAATTGACCATTATCATGTTTTCCTTATTTGCTTCCAACAAAGTTATCTTAGGTCTATCTCTATTCCTTCTTGTCTCATTAATTGTAGAATTATCAATTTTCCTTCTTGTCTCATTAGCTGTAGTATTATCAATTTTCTTAATGATATATTTAGTGACTTTGTCACACATGGCCAAACTATCTCAATCAATTCTCTCAGTCTTCAATAGGAGCAACCTTTAACTTTGTATGATGGCATCTATTCTATGTTGTGCCCTAATTTAGCTAAATGGTTGCAGTTGAACTAATTTTATGAATGTTAACAAAAGTTTATTGCAAATTATCAATGGCTAAAACTTTGTCTAACTGCATCTTTTTATCTATACAGTGCTTGCGACCACCTTATGGGGTGTTATATCTCGCTGCAAAGAAAAGCTTTGTCGGTTCTAATGGCGGAGCACGACATCTAAAAACCCTAGTTGATGAAGAAGGTATTTTCGGTGCCCATGTGGTTACTGAATTGGCCGACAGGGAAATTTGGAAGTTCTTTTTCAAGTGAAGATATTGAGGAGGCCATACATAATACTTATACTCTTATGTTCAATTCAAAATATCAAGCTATTGTTGGTTTATACATTTTTGTAAATATCACATTTGAATTGTTTGGCTCTCTTTTATTTTCGTAATAAGGTTGCCGAGAATGCTGGATCCTTAGGCGTTGCTTGAAAGCTGCAATGCTACCATTTTGTACTTTTTTTTCTCTTTTTTCGTATATATTTGTTTGAATAGTGTTGTTGACAGAAAGATTTATCCAAGTTTAATTCATATTTGTTACAGGTTGTTATGATTTGCTTTGCTCAATAATCTTGTGAAGTGGTGTTTATCTGATTACAGTTACAATTATTGTTTCACTCTTAAGCTGAAAGTAGATAGAGAAACCATATATTTGGACTGCCATGGACAACGTTGAGGTACACAAAGTATGAAGGTTCCAATAAAATATCAAATATAATTTCTTACAACATTTTTCATTGTTTAAGCCATATACAAGAGAGCATTGCACAAGGACTACTACATAAAAGGGTAGATCATTTCTGAAGTGTGGTCAGCCAAAAATAAGTAACACAAGAAGACCACATACAATTCTGTGACTCAAAAAAAGGCTTCTGACTACCACTTAAAATCATCAAGATCTTTTACTGGGACTTGTTTTCTTCGCTTTAGAAATGGGAGTAGCTGCTTCCTTGAATGCAGAGGGGCATAGCTTGTTTATGGAGCAATCTCCGCATCGAGGTCTGAGAGGCTTGCACACTGTTTGCCCAAATCCAACCTGAATCAAAATATTGCACACGGAGAGTAAATATGCATTTTTATTTTGACATAAAGGTGAAGCACCTCCTTCTTGGAGGAAATTTGAAGAACTTGATCAAATTAAATTATTTCACATGAAATAATCAGATATCGATGTTACTTAGTACAATCCATTTGCCAAACTCAACTGCTTCAGTAATCTATCCTTTGAATATGGACACCGAAAGTCATCTTAAAAATTTAGAATGTATACAACGGTTAGGGTAAGGAAAATATGGCAGGTAACACTATCATGAAGAAGTAATTTTCCAGGGAATCATAATAGCATAATCCAAAATCTTCCATTGTTTTATTGTATTTTCCTTTTCCTTTTTAGGCATGCATAAATACGCTCTTAATGCAAATTACTTATGCTTTATTCTATTGCCAACACCGCTTGTCCCTACCAGGATAAAGGAGGGTTGCGTTAGATAGTCGACAGCTAACGTAAAACATAGTCAGAAACACATGACATAAATCTTATAGAACATTCGTTGGGGGCGTCCCCACCGCAACGCGTTTCATCGATACCACCCCGATGCAATGATAAATTAAGGGTGGTTTACTAAGACATTCCCTGAAAGCGATGCCTTACATAATGCCACCTGGATGTAATGACAAATAAGCAACGGTATTCTAGGACATTACAATTCTCTAATAGGTTGCCAAATTAGGTATAGACTAGAGTGTCAAAAGAGAGGGCATAATAAGTGACTTTTATAAGAAAATAAAATTAGGTTTAGCTATTTGGAATATATGTACACTTACCAGAAAGACGACGGAATTAGTAAATATCATGCTTAGAAGAAATATTAGTATAATTTGTTTACAGGAAACTAAAGGGATAGGTAAAAAATCTAGAGAAATTAAAAAGACGGATATAAACTTTGGTACAAGGGGAAAAAAAAGAATAGAAATGGAGTGGGAGTACTTGTAGATCATGCTCCCTTTAAAACTACAAATTAGGAAAAAACTTTCTGTGGTCAATATTACCCTTCACTATTTTGAATATTTTATTTAAATCTTAATCAATCATAATCATAATTATATATTATCCTAATCTCATGTGAACTATCTATATCTTAACAATTTTTAAAAAATAAGATGAATAAAATACATGAATCAGCTCCACTGTATTAATTTATTAAGGTAAAGAAGTGACATATTATAAAAGATGAAGTATTATAAAAAAAACTCAAAAAAATCCAAAAATTATACAAAATACCCTCAAATTTTTAAAATTATACAAAATATCCTGACATTTCAAAACTTAAAACAACAAACATGAAATCTGAAAATCAACAGCAACGTCCAAAGAATTTAAAATTTACAATTAAAACCCTCAACGTTTCAAAAATTATAGAAACACCCTTAAAAGTTCAAATAATAAAAAAAACGCCCTAATTCTGAAATTTTAAAATTTGAAAACAACAAAGATAAATTTAAGGGCTTACCATCAGGCACTTGAAATTTTAAAATTTATAAAAATAAACTCAAAGTTATAAAAATTACAAAAAACTCCTTCAAAAATTACAAATCACAAAAAACCATAAAATTTCAAAACTTATAACCAGACTATCAGTACGTATCAAATCTGGAAATTATCAGCAGATCGCTAACATTTGAATTTTACAACAAATAATCCAAAGTTTTAATAATTACAAAATTACACCCTTAAATTATTAGAATTGCAAAAAATATCCTAACATTCGAAAACTTACCACCAATGCATGAAACATGAAAATTATAATCACCCAACTTAAATTTTAAATTTTTTTTTTAAAATACTCTCAAATTTTTAAAATTTACAAAACTCACCCTTAAAAATTCAAAATCACAAACGAAGACTAAAATTTCAAATCTTAGCAAAGAAAAGAGTAGTTGTTTGATATTCTTTCATTAAGATATATAAATTTAACTTTCAATTTAAGGTTTACTATTCATTTATAGCATCTAAAAGTAGTCTAATTTTATCAAAATAATAAAGGTGGAGAAGGATTGATGTCAGCTTAATAAAAAATAAAACAGAAGGAATGAAAGACACAGTTTTCTGAATATATTATAGAATAGTTTTTTTGAGTAAATTAGGAATCTTTAGAAGAGATTTTCATGAACTTTTTTTAGTATTTTTATATTCTTATGTAGATGTTTTCATCATATAAAAATAAAAATGTGCTAGAGTTAGCATTAATCTTTAGTTTATGATTTTTTTAAAATCTATAAAAGATTAGGAACAAACTCCATATTCTTTTTTTTTTAATTTTAGCCCGCTTTTAACCAATCATCTTGTCTTATTAGCTTTAATTATTCATCTTCCTTTTATAACGCTATTTTTAAAATGTTTTTCACTTTTACAACACTATACTTTCTCAGGTCAAGCTTGGTTTCATGTCGGTCCAAATAACATGATAATTTAAATTAGCTTTGGATTATATTTTTTTCCTATCAATTCAATTATCAGCATGAAAATTTAAATTGTGTAACTCATTTAAACGAACATCAAAGAAAATAAATAAATACAATGCTAAAGTTTAGAGACATAAGTGAACAAAAACCATCAAAATAGAACCGAGAAATAAATTTTAGTAAGAAAATAAATCAAATACACTAAGTCATGGTATTTAACTATGTGCATTGCATGTGCATAAAATCTAGTAACATAATAGAAGATAGTGTTGTGGATGTAAAAAGAGCAGGAGATAGAATAATACTAATAAAAAATTATTTTAGGAGTAAAGATTATCAATATTGTTAGCGTTTACACTCCACAAGTAAGGTTGCCCAAGAATATTCAAAAGGATTTTTGGGATAATTTAGATTAATTGATTCAAGGAATTCCATTAGGAGAAAAATAATTTATAGGGGGAGACCCTAATACGTATGTTCGCTAGGATAATAATGAATATAAAAGGATATATGAAGAGTTTGGGTATGAAATTAAGAACGATATAGGAGAATCAATTTTAGAGTTTGCAACATCATATGACCTGATAATAGCAAATACACAATTTAGAAAAAGAGATGACCACTTAATAACTTTTAAAAGTGGATCTAATAGTAGTCACATAGACCTTTTTTCTTACTAGAAGGGTGGATAGGTTAACATGTAAAGATTGTAAAATTACCCAGAGAGAGTTTAACTACACAACATAGGTTGATGGTATTTAAAAAGTGAAGTAGGAAAACTAATATGAACAAAAGATTAAGAGCTAAGTGGTAGAACTTAAAAGGATAGAGCTTAATATTTTTTTAAAGATAAGATGATGAAAGAAGATATATGGAATATAAATAATGAGACTAATATTATGTGGAATAGTATGTCCTCTTGTGTTAAGAAAGTGGCTAAGGATATTCTAGGAGAATCTAAACGTTGTAGGTTAGATAGTAAGGAGAGTTGGTGGTGGAATGAAGAAGTGTAAAAGTGTAGGAGCAAGGAAAACTTTGAGAAATATAAGTTAGCAAGAAAAAAGCAAAAAAGAGCCGTAAGTGAGACTAAATACAAAGCTTATGAAAGTTTATATAAAAAGTTAGTATTTAAGGAGGGAGAAAAGGATATACAAGCTTGCTAAGGGGAGAGAAAGAAAAGTAGGGATTTGGATAATACTAGGTGTATTAAGAGTGAAGATCAAAGAATTCTAGTAACTGACGAGGAAGTAAAGGAAAGGTGGAGGAGCGACTTTCATAAATTATTTAATGATAACCAAATAAGTGAGCAACATAGAGAATTTGACCATATAGTGAATGATAAAAGCTATAGATATTGTCCGAAAATTAGGATTAGTCAAGTCAAAAATGCTCTAAAGAAAATAAAAAGTAAGAGTCGTAGGACCGTTCAATATCCCTATTGAAGTTTGAAAATGTCTTGGAGATATAGGATTAGGATGGTTGACCAAATCATTTAATAAGCTTATTGAGATAGAGAATGCTCAATGAGTGAAGGATTAGTACGTTGATACCGATATACAAGAATAAAAAAATATACAAAGTTGTTCAAATTTTCATGGCATAAAACTCATGGGTCATACTATAAAACTTTGGGAGAGGCAATTAAAAAAAGGCTAAGAAAAGAGACGTGTATCTAAAAACCAATTTAGTTTTTGGCATGAGATGTCAACTATGGAACTTATACATATTTTGAGATGGTTGATGAAGAAATATAAAGAAAAAAGAAAAGATCTACATATGATTTTCATTGACCTAGAAAAAGTTTATTATAGAATGCTTAGAAAGATGGGTAATGTGGGCTCTAGAAAAAAAACACGTATCTAATATATATATTGATGTGACTAAAGATATGTATGATTGAGTAACAATTAAAGTAAGAATTAATGAATGAGAGACTAAGTCATTTTCTATAACTATAGGTTTACATCGCGGTTAGCCTTAAGTCCTTATATTTTTGCTTTAGTTATGGACCAATTTACTAGACATATTCAGGATGAAGTGTCATGATGTATGTTATTTGCTGATAATATAGTATTAATTGACGAGACTAGAACATGTATAATCTCTAAAGTAGAAAAGTGGAGATAAGCTCTTGAAACTAAAGATTTTAGAATTAGTAGAATAAAAACAGAATACATAAAATGTATTTTTAGTAAAATTAGAAGGAGAAAAGCGCATATTGTATATATCGATAGCCAAGAAATATCTAAAAGCAATCAATTTCGTTATTTAGGATCAATCATTCGACATTATGGCAAGATTGAGGATGCTGTCAGTTGAATCAAATCAGAATGGTTAAAATGGAGGCGTGCTTCGGGAGTCTTGTGTAATAGTAGAATACCTATTAGACTTAAGAGAAAATTCTATTGAACAGTTATAAGACCAACAATACTTTATGGATCAGAATGTTAGGCAGCTAAAAAATAACATGTGTAAAAAATGTGTAGCAGAAATGAGAATGTTGATATGGTCTTGTGGATATACACTAAAAGATAAGATAAGAAATGAGTATATCCATAGTAAATTAGAGGTTGCTCCTATAAATGATAAAATGAGCGAGAAACGATTAAGGTAGCATGAACATGTACAACGTGAATCTTTAGTACACGGGTTAGGATAAGTAATAATATTATAGCAAAGTGATTTAGAGATAGACCTAGAAGAACTTAGTTGAAAGTAATTAAGAATGATATGGTTATGGTTAGCTTAACAAAGGAGATGGTCCATAATAGCCCATAGAATTCATGTAACCAATCCCAAACACTTGGGATAGTGGCTTTATTGTTGTTGTAATGCAAATTACTTATGCAATAACATAACATAAAAGCTCTGAAAAGTGTGAACATCTCTCTCTCATATGCATGCAACCCCCCCCCCCCAACAAAAAAAAGAAACTCCCATGAAAAAAACATTCCTTTTTTTTCTTTGTGACAAATAGATAAACAAAACAAACTGCAAAATACCAAACATGCTATCCACTAATCAATTCATGAGTAACCAAATAAATTATGTGAGTGAATCTGATTGTGGGTAGTGATACACCTTAAAAAGTTACGCAATCAATAGAATAAGAAAACATAAAGGGAATATATAATATAGTGAAGCTCTGCATACCAATAGTGGATTGATCGGATCCCATTCGTCTTTAGGCAACCAAGTCTCCAAAGAAACTCTGGTTTGTTCAGGAGTCAAAGTTTTCTAGCAACATAAAAACATGTTTTTGTCAGAAAAAAGTCAACATAGGATATCAAGAAATATTGATTATGGCCAAACCTCTCTTGTTCCAGGTCGAGATACCCATCCAAGACGATTGCATATGCGATGTACATGAGTATCAACACATATACCTTGCACATCATTCCACCCAACATTCATAACCTGTTTTAAGAAAAGAAACAGAAATTAGGAGGGGAAATTTACCAGGTTTATATGTTAGGAGTTGAAGATGAAATATTTACCAGATAGGCCATCTTTGGACCTATCCCTGGCAGTGCGAGCAAGCCATCTATTGTGTTAGGAATATCTCCATCGTACTTGTCAAGACAAATTTCAGCAACCCTTTTCATATATTTGGCCTTTCTCGAATAAAATCCAACCTGTATTAGATGATAGTATCAATTGGTTTATTTTTATTTTACTTTTTGAGGAAGAATCAATTGGTTTATGAATCAAGCAGAAGTCCAAGAGTAGCCTTTTGCAGCTTAGTAACTGAAGTAGTAGGAAAAGCATTTGCTAGATGAATAATAAGAGGCAATACTCAAGATATACAAAATTATGAAAGTGGCCTAGCTTAGGGATTGATTGGCTCCCAGAAGTTCAATGATGTTAACTTGGTTTGCATGTCTTCTGTGAGAATGTTTATGACATCAAATGAACCAAGTGGCTAGTGTTGAGCTGCTCTCCGTTTTCTTTTTATTTTCCCTCTCCAATTTTTAGATGACCGAGCATACTTTAAATTACAAACAGGACAAGTTAACGAGGGATAGACAGTAATATATCCCACTATTTTAAAAAGCCTCTGCCTAGTCCACCTAGACATACGCCTAGGCCTAGGCGGTACCTAGCCCGCCTAACTAGCGCCTAGCGTCTAGATGGTACCTAGGTTGCCCACCTACTTTTGAGAGTATTTAGGGAAGCATTGTCTGCTTACGTGACCTGCACCCTTTAGGCCTTGATCGTGATTTTTTATGTTGCAACCTCCACTTCCTCTAAACTTCTTTAACCTCCAAATATGAACACATTCACTGTCTCCCCAACCTTAAGCAAAACCTCCTCGACCACCACTTAAATGAAGAAAGAAATTCGTCTAGACACCAGTCCGACACCTAGGCATTCTATAACATTGATATTTATTATCAATTATTGTAATTATAATATTAAAAAAAACCTCCTAGGCTCTAGGTGTCGGGTTCAACGCCTAGGCCTCCTAGCGTTTTCTATAACATTGTTAGTTATTATTTTGGCTATTTAGTATTTAAGTATGCATGGTTTATTGTGGATCTAAGATTGTCATTTTTTTTTGCAAATTTATATGAATTTAATGCATATTTTTATCAATTATTATAATTAAATAATTTTAAAAATAACCAAAAGCCTAGGCGCCACGCCTAGGCGCCGCGCCTAGGCGCCGCGCCTAGGCGTCTAGGCACTGGCTCAAATGCCTAGTCCGCCTAAAGCAATCTTTAACATTGATATATCCTCAAGTCAAGTTTGAAATAAAAATATTAGATGTAAAAGAATGTTTTACAAACAAAGTAAAATTTTCATTTTTTTTTTTGAAACGTCATTTTCATAAAGTGACGAGGGTTTACAAATAGGAAATAGCTGAAATAAAGAGGCGAATTTCTAGAATATTCCTAGATAGAATAAAAAATGTAGAATAAGAAGGTTATATTGATTGCTTAGCAGCTTATGGTTCTCAGATTAAGACAAGGTAGATTAGCCATGAACATAAATAGAAACAGCACAGAAAGTTACATGTCCAAAATGAAAATAAAATAAAAGAATACATTGTAAGTATATGGATGATATTTCTTTAGCACAGATCAGCAACTAACGGCATCTGATACGTTATTTATAGAATGTTTGCAGCTTGAAAAAACATGATCAGGACTCAAATATAATATGATACATTTGCGAAAGAACATACTGGATATATCAAGTTTGCAATGGTTGCTTCCTCAGTTTGGATAATAGCATCAGCTGCCAATAAGCCTTTCTCGGAGAGGCGCTGCACGGCACCTGGACTCCTAATGGAATACATTAAATGAATCAATAACACAATATCCTTGGCACACAAAATAAAGGACCCATATAGACTATACAAATGATGGTCATGGAAGGCTGTTAAATGAACACTAATTAATTTCTGGTAATAAACTTGCCATGTGTAACTCCATCTTTGGTTTGGCTTGATAGAAGGGAAGACACCAAAACCGCAAATCGTCTCTCCTGGAAAAAGATAAGGATGCATGTAATGTATTAGTCTTTAGAAGGATAAACGTGTTACTTGAGGACTAAATAATGATAAAGACATTCAAGAAACTCAATCATGAATGATACTTCAAAATTGTATGGCATATTAATGAGAGAATGACAGGTTTGGGTATGAATTCCATTTAACATAAGACATTTTTCTACTTTCTAAATATAAGTTTGGTCGTCCATAGCTTGGGTTTGTGTTAATGTACAAGCTAAATGACATCAGATGTCAATGTCAAGTAGCTTTCGTTTTCCTTACTGGCTTTCGAAAGAGCAGTTTATATGATGGCATTAATAATCAGTTTAGGGCTCCTGTAAATGTAAGCTACAAGGTCACGTGTGGGTACATTCAAGTCATTGAGGATGGTGACCATCATATTCAATCCGGTAGCTGTTTATGAATTCTACAGAACATCATCGAGTGCAACAAACATTTGGACGCTTTTGCACCAAGGGCATATACCATGGATTTTTTTTTCTATTGACCTGTGAACATTTTAGCTCAAAAGTGTATTAGTATAGTAACTTCAGGACAAGACATGGCCTTAAGGGTATAATTTAGTGGAATCAACTTTTTGTAGTTTTTCCAACAAAGTAACTATTTAGGAAGTAATCATCCTAAGAGTGTTAGTGTGTAAGCTACAACTACAAGAAGAACAATAGCAGTAGCAAAAACAGAGCCTTCATCCCTGTTAAATTTGGAATCAGAGAGTTTAAAGAGAAAAATTACCTTTCTTCTTTACCTTTACTTAAAAAAATACTAATTCAAATGTTAATTACACAACGAACTAAATAATTTTCTAGATATAACATCTTTTTAAATAAACTATGTCCTCTCATAACAATCCTAAACTTATGGAGTCAAATTGCATAATCTGTTTCTTCCGTTCAGCTTTATTAAGGTCATCTTCTCCAATAAACTGAAGGCATGCTAGAAAGTTAACATTAGTTTTCTGAAATAAACAGCATGCATTAGTACTCAAACATATTAGAAGAAGTTAGCCTTGACACAGATATGCATACATACATGCACGTGCATAAACATAAATAAGTAGCCCAGGATGCCCCTACCCCTCCCATGCATGCACACATGAAGCGATAATATTTCTGCGTGTGTTTTTTTACCCGCGGTCTTTTTGGCTCAAACTTTAGAAAGAAAGGTTTCCTTTATATCAACATTTCAATAAATGTGCATATCTGAAAAAGTAACTGCATTGTTCAAAAAAGTGGTATATATTTGATTCTTAAAAAGACAGATCTTTCCTGTGTGAATATTTAAACATTCACATTCATACACCCAAACTGTTTTAAAAAGTTTCTTCTGTGTGAAATGTATTGTTCAAACTGGATGTGCAAACATGACTTGAAGAAAAGGTTTCTGCTTGAATATTTTACACATAATTAGATGTCATTTGAACAAGTTACCTTTGGCTCAGAATAATGTACTTAGAGACTAGTGTTACCTTTGGTGGCAAAAAACTGCCTGCCTTTTCACATCCCATAGAGTCAACTGGAGCATCATCAGAAGATCTCATTTTCCTAATCCCTTCAAGAACTTTTTCCCAGTTTGCTGGTGGCCCCTCTGCAGTAGAATAGGCTCAAAATAGATCAATATGAGTGGACAAAGTTGCAGTCATAAATCTCTGATTCTTTATTATTTGAAAAGAACTAAAGCTGAAAGAATGGATGATTGAGAATGCGAGACCAAATAACGCCTTTTTACCAAGTAGGTATATTCCATAAAATGTATTATGCATCTTTAATGCACTGCTCAAATACCGTTTATGCTAATGGAAAGAGTAGCCTCTTTCTTCAAATCCACAGAAACTGTCTCTTTCTTTATATCCATAGAAACTGCAGACAGTTTTGCCTTAGTTGTAGGACCAATTCCTGAAAATAGAAGATAATCATTAGTAAACCTTTCCACCAAAAAAAGAGAAGATAAAATTCAGCATAATGCTATGCATCTTGGACCAAAACATTTCAAGTCAGAAAAATCTCATACAATCAGAAAACTTTAATCAGGAATAATGTTATCATGCTAATACACCATCTTAAATATAAATATTCCACAATGAGGTCAGCTGATTTATCACCGACACGGCGACACTGACTTCTCATATAACCAGGAAAACAAGCTACAAGCTTCTAACAAGTACAGTAACAATGATTAGTAGTGCTCTTCTTTCTTCATTGACCAAAACTTCTTAGTTTTGAGCTTGAGTACATGAGATCTGAACCAACTTATTATAAAGGAAGTTGAGATTGTTTGTCAAAGACTATTGACAAGGGATTTGTGAAAGTGATTTACTGATGAGCCTCTTGGGCCATGGACTGTAATCTCTTACAGGTTGGTAGGATTCAACAAATGACTGCAAATTTGATACTGATTATTGTCACAGAAAATCAACAGTGAGATGGCTGAGGAAGTAGTCGTAGGATCAATGAGCACAGCCCAGGGGTAGTTGGAGGATAGATGAAACGAACAAGGATCGTTAAGTTAAGGAAGCGGTAGGTAAATTCAATGACCATCAATCACTAACACAAGGTTTTTGATGTGATTGACGTTGATGTAGTACTTGGTAAGATGAGGAAAATGGAGGATAAGCATAGCAGTTGCAGTTGTGGTGATCCTGATTCTTGGTGTCACTACTTTCTTTCTATTCCCTTTTATAAGATATAGCTTTTGTCTATACAATGGTTTCATTGTTACCCACTAATGAAAAAGTATGGAATCACCCCTCCCTTTTACTTTCAAAAGGTTGACTAAGGATATAGGCCCATCCATGTGCCTAATCAACACATTGTGCTCATCCAATACATGATATACTCCGAAGGGATAAAGATTCCACCTTCGAACTCTTTACTTTCAATCGATACTAATCAAAATAATGGGCTTGTTAAATTGGATGAAAATCTGCAAAACAAACTAGACCACGCTAATACAGTTAGCACCATATCACGGAGCACAAGCACCTTCAAAAGTTATCATTTTTCTCTGGTAAATAGCAACTCACATTTGCATCTAATGTTGTTCCCATTGACAGGCATGAAAGCTATAATGCAATTGCAAAAATTAAGAACCAAGCTTATTCAAAGGACGCTCTTACTCGATTTCACTGATCCCTTGGCTTTACTATATGAAAAATCTTCGATATCCGGCAAACCAGTGAGCTGCAAACCACTCCAAATATTATTCAATAAGGGCAAAAAACATATAATCATCATTATCTCTCTACAAAGAGACATAATCATACTTTTTGACCAGCAATTTTCCCTTTCTGATCCTCTAAAGAATTATCTGCCTCTATCTTCACCCTCTTTTTCCTCGTATAAGCACTGGAAAGCTCAGTACCTAGTAAAAACAAAGAACAAGGTAACAAACAAGGGGAAAAAAACAATAACCCAAAACAATTAATGGGTTGTGATTATACTGACCCGGGTTGATTCCTGAGTTGGGTTCTTGAGCTTTGCTGGGCAAAATAAGAGATTTTGAGGATGATCTGGTGATGGGCATCTTGAGGGTTTTGGAATGAAGAGAGAGGGGAACAAAGAAAGGGAGCCTAGAGAGAGAAAGAGAGAATGGCATTTGGTATTGGAGGGAACTAGGAAAAGGTTTTTTTTCTCCCCTTCCTCTTTTTTTATTTTTGTTCGTTGTTCTTTGTGCTAATGATGTTTTTCTCTTTAATGGGATTTGTTGATAGGATTTGAGATTGAATACGTACATTATTTAGTTAAGAGGAATCGTGGGATTGATCTAAGCCACATGACTTGGATCGTTGAACGTGGGAAATATAATTGCCACTACCTTCATAAAATGTGCAGCGTGTTTGCTGTTTCCCAATAAAAGGCATTTTCAATCAACTTATACGCGAGTTCCTCTATATTTTCTCTTGCCACCAGGGGAGGGGGGATGGGGGATGGGGGTGGTTAAATGACAGTTACGAGGATCGATTGGCCGGTTAGATAGAGTGGTATCTTCTGGACAGCAAAGGCTAGAGCTAGACACTCCTTTTCGATTGGATTGTATCGATGCTCAGCATCGATTATAGTTCGGCTTAAGTAGTAGATGGTCTGTTTGTAACCGTTATTATTCTTCTGAGCAATAAATGCTCCGAGAGAGCGGTCATAGCCCTAACATAGATTAGAAATTACTTGCTTGATACCGGAGCGGCTAGAA